AATTCAATAATTATTTTAATTATATTTTATATTTTTTATATTTTAAAACGAAATGTTTATTCATTATTTGATTATGTTTATACGTAGTTAGTTACATGAATTCAAACATAAAGCTTTAATAAGTTATATTTACGCACAATTTACTTGTAATCTTGAGTTTTAAGTAATATGCATCAATAAACAGTACTTTATGCATAAAAATTGTTTTTAAGAGTTTTTGTCAAATGCTTTATAATATAGTAGAGATTTATTAATAAATTAAAAATTATTAGCAAATTCCATCTTTATGATCAAACAATGCATTTAGGGTTTGTTTGTTTATCTCTTAATAGTTTTATTAAGAGGCAATCTCTGAATCATTAAGAAATGAATCTTGTTTGACTAAAAAAAGTCCATCTCTTAATGGTTCTAAAACCCTCTGAATGATTTTGTATCATGGGCCTCCCTTAACCATTAAAAGCCCTAATTTCATTGTTAAGAATTACCAAACAATTATATTTCATTTTGTACAATATTATGAGAGTCCGTTAATAATTCTGACTATTTAATGATTCTGCACAAAACTATTCAGCAACTATCAAACAATCCTTTAGAATGGTTGATGTTAATGTGTGTCACGAGAAAATTAGTTAGGTAGAAATGTATTTAGCATTTATATTTGAAAGTCAATAAAGTAGTTCTCTCTATATATATATTAATAGAGTATTAAGTTATATATATATATATATATATATATATATATATATATATATTAAAAGTTTAATATATTAAGATGTTTATTATTATAATATTAAAGATGGTTTTTAATAGAGGTATTCATATGTTGAAATCCAACGAATTTAGGTGGATCCAATCTGATTCAATCCAATCATTCATTGGATGTTAGATTTTGTTATCCGATCCGATCTGATTAACATTGAACATCCGATTCGATTCAAATCCAATGGATGATTGGATCGGATTGGTTCTATCTATTGGATCATATTGGATTTGTCCAATCTCTTGATCTAATTAATCCACCATTTCAACCAATTATTCATATATTTTCTTGAGTTATTAAAGGACAATGTATAAAAATATCAACTAAAAAAAACAATATCGTAAAATGTTAATAATTATATATAGTTGTTAATTGGATATTTATTGGATGGGGAATTGGATTGTCACTGGATTGTATCGGTTCAGTTTTATTGAATCTTGGACTGTCATTAATGAACCGACCACCGATTTAACTGTTGAAATTTTGGATTCGATCGGATCCAACTACAATTGGATATCCAATTATGATCGGTCAATTCTAATTGGATCGATCAGTTTAAATTGGATCACATGACTTTCTACACACTCCTAGTTTTTAATGTTTTTTTAATGTGTGGTTGGAGTTGATTTTTTAGTGTTGGGTGGATCTATTATTTTTAGTATTTTTAATATTATTATTCTTTAATAAATGGGTTGAAGATACCCTGACCCCATCCTTTAAATTTCTACGATTTAGGGTTTGTTCAAAATTTAATACGAAAACACGTCTATTTAAAAAACATGTATTAGAGTCAACCAAAATTATTCAAAATGTTATAAATTCAAGACTCATTAAAGATTTTGGGAAAACGCTTTTTTATAATTAAAAATAAATGTAAACATTTTAATGGCTGGTATTTGTGGGATTTGAAATTCGATTGCAGTTTAATCCGTTGTACGGTTTAGAATGTGCATGCATACATCTTATTAAAGCTTCATTTTTGAATTCGTGTAATTAACTATTGATAAACATAATCAAATACATAATAAATATCATTTTAAATATAAAAAATCTAAAATATAATTAAGATAATCATTGATTTATAAGAGAATACTTAATTATTATCTTAAAAAAATATTTTATT